CCCCAAAACCCCAAAACCCCAAAACCCCAAAACCCCTAAATTTAACAAAATTATTGCGATTCTATTATTAAATAATAATGGTAAGTCAGCAACTGGAGACCTTTGGGTGTTTTTGAGTGGGAAGGGAAAGAGATGTGGGGAATTGATGGGGATTGGAGAAGAGATTTAGGGGGGTTGGGGATGAAGGTTTTGGGGGAGTTTATGGGGTGAGGACTGGAAAGAAAGGTGGGAAATGGGAGTTGAGCCTTTGTTATTTGCGATAAATAGGGTTTATGGATTTGGGATTAACAATGGAGAGATTTTTGATTTGAAGAGTAAAATATCGTTATTTTTGATAAACCAATTTTTTAGTAAAGAGACTGCTCTTTAAAGGTAGTGGGTGTCTCAAGTCTAGATTTGAGTTTAGTTACAAAATAGTTTGATGCGGAAGTTTTACGCATTTACGACTACAGAGAGATAATCTTGTATCTTTGTTTCCTAGTTATATGTCTTATCTTAACACTAATGTCTCCCTGAAAAGATTTTTAAATTTAGATAGAATCCTTACAACAGTAAAGCCTTTTCAGCTATTTCTTCCTAAATTTATGCTTATTTGTAATTTTGCCAGCTGTTTGTTAACCAAAAGATAAATATCGAGGTAGTTGCTTAAACGATTCGAAGAGGCTATAATCAATATTCTGGAGACACTTATAGAAACAATAAAGATGAGGCATGGGGCTGACCTGGAGTTATTATACATCTTACCCTCCCAAAAGTGTATCTACTTATTTCTGGACACTGAATGATTCTATAAATCTAATGAGGTGTCTTCTCTTGCCTCTTATATCCATCTGTCCTCATAAACCAAAGAATCCATCAATAGTCCTTTTAAATTATACAAAATCACCAACTTTTGAAATAATTATCAAATTCTAAAGTACGTCCTGCATATTTAGATGATCTGCTTTTACTTAGCCAAATAATTTTCTTTAGAAGCTAGCAAAATTTATGAAGAGTCCTTTACTTTTAACCTATGACAATGAATACTTGATGTTATTAGTAAACAACTCGGCCTTCCATCTTGCCAAATAGTGAATACAATTATATTCCTTGAGAGAGAAGACTGCTGAATCTTCTCTTAAAAAATGAATCTGACACTTTTTCGTTCGATTAATGCTATGATAGAAGTAGAACTAAAATTATTACGAATTTTGAAGAGGGCTTAAGTTAGTCAGAAAAGCTCTACTTCCTATCGATTAGGGAAATTTATTAGCATAAGATATAAAATTGGCAATTTAATAATCATTTTGAGATTCTTGAGGGAACCTTAGTTACTCGAAAATAACCTGGTGGTCGGTTGTCATAAAATATTATTCTACCATCCTTAAATATTTTCTTTCGGTAAGAAAAGAGAGACTAATAGATTGGACAATTTTTCTGATTTTTGACCTATGGAATAACTCAGAATCATCCTATAAAGTATAGATCTTGATAAAATTTTTTGTTAAAAAGCCAGTCTAAAATTCTATTTCACCAGATAATATGTAGTTTAGCAATATTAGATTTGGTTTATAAGATAAAGCATAATTTGGTGAATGTTGTTCTCAGCATATTTATATCAAAATATCGTTTTTTTCATTAATTTAGAGTGCTAGGAAGTGATACATCCATTTTGACATTCCGTATCCATTAGTACTAAGATATTATGAATTAGTTAACTAATTCGATATAAAATTCTTCTTAGTCCAAAATTGAAATTTCAAAATATGATGAAACCCTATAAGACCAAGCAAGCCTAGGACTTCCTTTCCAATATTTTCTAGTGAAAGTGAATAATTGACTCATTCTGTCGCTAGGTTTCCCTCCACTACCTCATTTTCAAAAAACACCGTTGTTCTGTTAGTGAGGGACGGAAAATTTTAGCTTGAAGATGTACCTGGATATGCTGAATTTTAGAGATTTACTTTAAGTTTACTGGGTTTTAAGCGGTAGGGTATAGTTTTACCTACTTCTTTTGTAAAATAGGCGTAAATATGAAGAAAATTTATGATATTGTTATTTCTTGAGACTTGGTTTATAGTAGAAGATGATAAAATCAGGATTAGAGAAATAAGACTTCTGAATTTTTAAGGAGTCATTAGTAGTAAAATTATGTATCTCTTTGGGAGGTTAAATATAAGAGTCCAAAATGATTTATTGTCAAATTAAATTTCTCTTTGGGAAATATTAGTTAGGCAAAAGATTTTAATTAGGTTTTGGTATGTCAACAATTGTGAAAGAATAACCAATATTTCAATAAAGACTTTATGTTCGAGGTTAGTTTATCAAAATTTTGATAAAAATAGACTAAGTCTCTGAAGGATCAAGGATGATTCCTAATAGCATTTGAATAGAAATCAATGATATAAAAAAAACAAGAGTCTTTTAACTTTAATCCAAGGGTTCTAAAGAAGAAATTAGTGAAATTTGTGTTAAATTCTCTAAGGGTCCCTGACAGTATTTTAGGAAAGAGAAAACAATATGACTTTACCAAATTACAAGTTCAACAATAAGAGATTCCACAGGGAGCTCCAATGGACTGAGATGAACACTCTAGGGTATCAAGCGACTGAACATGAAGAGATAGAACGCAAAGAAACTAACGATAAACGTAAGTTTTACACTTTTTGTTCTAATTTATACCCTCTTTAGTATGGAAAGAGATAATTAATAATTCTAAGGAGCAGGAATATAACAGATATTATGAAACAGTTTACTCTTCAGATTCTTCTGCTATGAAGCAAGAGAGAGGAAAACAGGAAAATGGAAAACAGGAGGAGGAGAATGATAGAAAAATTTTTATTATCAGACATGTAAAGAGAAATATTTTGTAGATGAAGCCGAATTACTTGAAAAATCAAAGCCAGAGGTCAAACAGAATATGCCCATAGAAGCTCAGAAGGTATAATTTCCAGTCTTCCTATTACCCTGAGCAGCCTCTGACTTCATATATAGAACAAAGGTCATTTTTCGAAGACGAATAGGCGATATTTTCCAGCATGTGCCAGTCCAAAGAAGTATCTCCGATGTCTTAATATTGTAGGAAGAATTTTACTAATAAGACAATCATTAATCCTCAGTGTAAGTATTGCCTTTCCATTATCATATTTTGTTTTGCTTATCGAAATTTAGTCTGAAGCAAGCCAAAGGATCTTAAAACACCTAGGGAAGAAAGATTATTATCTCCAGGAATTATTGATAGAGGCAAGATCGCTAAATTGATGCAGAAATATTCATTTGTGCGACCGAGCATTCATAGATACAGGAGTCCTGATAATCGAAACAACACAGCATATATGAACACGAGGTTGGAAAATATGAGAAACAACTTCTTCGATCTTAATTTGGCTAAAAAGAAGTTGTTCTCACCTAAGAATAAGGTTAGACCTACTCGCCCTGTTTTAGGAAACTTGAAGCTTCCTTCAAAGCTAGAGAAGAAGATGTCTGATGCTGAAGGACTCCTTCTGGAGTCTCCTTTCTTAAAGACTACTATTAAAGGTCCTCAAAAAGTAAGGTATACTGTCTAATTATATAGATTAAAGCTAAATTTAGCATCTCTGATGTTGAAATTGAGAAGATTAAGAACCAAATTTGGGGAAAGATGAAATGAAAGAGGTCCAAAAAATTTGATCTTTAATTCAAATTATTATTTTAACATCTTTGCTACCTTCTTTTTGCAGCTATGTTAGGAATTGATTTTAATTCTAAACTGTGAGCTAAGATTGTGTGGCATATGAAGAAATAAACTCTATTATATATTCTAGCTTGTCTTGGTAACCTGAAATTCATCATCAGTGATAGGTATTGTCCATCTTTCAAAATCCTGCGAAATCTATAATTTATCGAATTATTTAATCTCAATTAGTAGGCGATAAGCCGGGGTTTTGGGGTTTTGGGGTTTTGGGGTTTTGGGGTTTTGGGGTTTTGGGG